TTTTTTTTTTTTTACTAAAACGACGTCGTTTTGAATTTTTTTTAAATAAAAATTGACCCGGCCGACCCGGTCAAAACCCGATAACCCGGTCAAAATCCGGAACCCGGGCCTTGAACCGGGCCGGCCACCAGGCCGGATTTAAAAACTATGACTCTGTGACCTTCCAAGATGTTACCAATTATTTAGGGTTTATGGGAATGAACATCATGGACTGGGGGCATTAAGAATCCTGTAACATAATTGTATATGTCAAGCTCATCAATACATTATTCAGATTTACTATTTTTTTTTCAAGTTACTACTATAAAAATAAATCTTTGTCAACAAAAACATTAAAATATCTGAGATGAAAATGAATATGAACAATGAACCATCTTAATTTGTTTTTCATTTATTTTTTTTATTAAGTCATTTTGCTTTACATCTAACAATTATAGTTCCAACCACCCCCACCTCAAACTCATTTTGCTTTACATCTAACAATTATAGTTAACCTAGCATCTATTGATTGATGCCTACCACCCCCACCTCAAACTTTTTTTTTTGGATGCTTTTTTTTTATTCTCAATTTTTTATTGAGTTTTATTACTTTCCATTTAATAATTATAGCTTGATATTGTAAAATTAATGCTTGAAAAATTATGAAATGTTGCACAAACTAATAAAAAAAATATTAAAAAATAATAAAAATATAACATATGATATAGACATGATCGATGGTGGGTTACAACAATTACGCACAATGATTTTTTTCTTTTTTTTGTTATTTGAATTTTTATATTTTTAATTTAATTCTTTTACATTAAATTGATTTGGGATTTATTTTAGTGTGTTTGTTCCGGTTGATTTTATATGGAGCTCTCAAAGTTTTAAAGTAAATTTTGATGCTGAATTAATATTTGATTTAATAGAATAAAATTTAATTTTATTGATTAAAATCAATGAAAACTTTAGGGATATAATTTCAAACTGCAACAATTATTCAATATTTTTTTTAACTATGAGTGGGATCAACATATTTATTATCATATATTTCACATGTATATTTTTTAATTTATTTTATTAAACATACATTTATATTGTTCAATCTTCAGTGAAAATTTTTCTTGATAGTAAAAAAAATTGTTAACAGCACTTGCACTCTGTTTTGCATCGAGAAAAAGAAGCTTCATCACACAGCATAACATGAAAAATCAAACAAGTGCTTGCTTATTACGAGAGTGAAATAAATAAAGGAAAAACTAGTGATTCATCAATGTATTTTTAATATATTTTCTTAGAAGTCCATGATTAAATGTGCCTAATGCAGGATAATAACTCCATGTATCTAGGTTTGGCAGAATGCAAAGCACAAATAACATGAATTTAGTTTTTTTTAAACTTAACATTTTAAAATTTAATTACGTGAATTTAAATATATATGGGTCTGAAAAAAAACTGAATTTAATAATATTGAATTCAATTCAACGCCTAAATGTTTATAAGTCCGATAAGGTGCTTGGCCTGTCACCCATGAGTTTGGAATAATTCCACTATATTGGGTTATAATGATTTGTTTATAATTCCACTATATTGGGTTATAATGATTTTTTTTTTTTTTATCTTTTAATATAAACTATTAAAAATTAATAATGATAATCTTTTTACATCCCTAAATGCAATAAAGGTTCTAAAGTATCTTTTATATTTTTACTAATATTAATTTTGTGTAAAAAATATTTATTTTTTTTAATATCATATAACATATATTTATTTTTTATTAATATTGTGTAACAAATATTTATCTAAAAAAAATAATATATTTTTTTATTAAAGTAACATGATAAAAAATAATCTATTTTTTTTTATTAAAGTAACGTGATAAAATTCAGAAGCTACATATAGTAATATACCTTTGGAAACACACCTTTTCTATTATTTAATTATAATATTATTTTACAAAGCATTTATTATACATAATTAAAAACAACCATTCATGTTCTTAATAATTTAAGAGATAAGGGTTCTTAAATCTTATAAAAAAATTATTTTATAAATGTTAAGTTTTCTATAACTAATCACCAATTTCTTAAACTCTAAAAAAAAAAAAAATATTAACATAAATGTTGATCATCCTTTCTTCAAATATATAAAAAAAACAACTTATATTGAAATTTAAAATATAATCGACTAACATTCTTCCGACCTCTATATTAATTATGACCAACATTCTTCCAACCTCTATGTTAATTGTAAGGGATGCTTTTCCTTCAAGAAAACTTTAATGTTCAACAACTACAGACACTGAATTAAATAAATGCTATGAAATATATTTATAATTGCCCCATTCCCATCCCATTAGAGTCTCAATGAATCCAATTTGATTAACTTGTTACTTGATATCTTCGTTGTTGGATCAAATTTTAAATGATGTTCTATGGTAGCAAGAATCAATTTACTTTAAGTAACTAATCATATTTTGGGTAAATCTTAACCCACACCCACAATTTTACACCCTAAGCTATTTTTTTAATCAATTTTATTTTTAAGTGGAATTTTATTATAATTGTTTAATGTTATTTCATATAAATTATGTAATTTAAAACAAAATTATTAATATATTGATGAAGAATCTCTTAAATGATTGAAAATTCTTAATTTTTTTAAGCTAAAAATATTTTTTTATTTTTTAAAAATTAATTTTTGATATTATCGAAATAATTTACTTTTTTTATTTTTTAAAAATAATTTTTTAATATTATCGAAATAATTTAAAATACCAAAAATATTAATTTAAGAAAATAAAAAATAAAAAATATATTCAAATTCTTTCAAAAATAACCTTTTAAAGAAAACCACGCTGCCTCCAGATCAAACAAAGCCACACTAGCATTCATTATTGATGTCTGTGATCAAATAACTAAAAGCGTGAGGCGACCAAACCCATAGCCACCACCATCTAGTAACAGAACCATATCCTGCAACCTCTACTGTGGCCTAACCCTACGGCTCAACACCATTTCCCTGAGTTCAGCTGGATCAATCTCCGGCACATAATTAGCAGGCCTGTAATACCCAGTAACTGGATCAGGAGCCCATGCTGAGTAGGCCTCGGAACCTTCTTTGGTCACCGCCCCATCTTCCATTTTCCCTCTCGTAGCACGAGTCCTTGACCCTCCCCTACCAAAGCTCGCTGTTACAGCAGCACTGATTGGTGCAGCAGCCGCGTAACCTCTCCTGTACACAGAAAGAGACATTTAGCCATTCAAATCTCAGTCCCTTTTTTAAAATAGCGATCAGATAGATGTTCATCGAATTAACTGAATCTTCGAAATCTAATCCCCTTTATGGAAACAAAAACAAAGCGAATTAAGTTTATAACTACATGAGAACTGACCGTAAAACAGAGAGGGAAAGACCATCAGCAAGAGAAGCTACAAGAAGCTTAGCGTTTGGGAGAGAGCGAGCCATTTTATTTATGGTTTTCGAGTGTATATATGTATATATATCTGCAGATGATACCGCAAATCCTTCTTAGAGTGGATTCTCAAGAAGAACAGCGCCTGCAGAGCAGCTAGCTAGCGGCTCGCTCTCTATAGAAAGGTGGTGGTGAAAATGTAAGATTAGGGTTAGAGGTGTTTATATAGGAAGTGAAAAGAAAGAGAAGCGGCAGGTCATTCGCTGAAGGGAGTTTCTGAGGGGTTGTCTTGGAATTTAAGAATTTTTTTTTTCCTTATTAAATAATATTTTTTCGGTGTTAGGAAATTCTTTTGTTATTATTAGGCAAACTTGACCACCAAACCATTGAGATAATTTTAATTATACATTCAAATTATTTTCCGTGTTGATTATACCATTAAATACTTTTTATTTCTCAATATAATAATTCATCAAATATTACAACTTTTATTAAAAAAATTAGAAAAAATAGTAATAATAATGAAATTTTGTACTTGAGATTATGCCGGAAAATGAGCTTATTTTATTTTTTTTAATATTCGGGTTTAATCTTTTTTGTATATGCTTGTCATTTTTGTGATATCTTATCTGTTCATTACACTTACAAAATATAGAATTAGTTAAAATATATATAAATTGATTTGAACAAATATTAAATAGAAAACAAAAATATATATAAAAAAATTCTAGTTTGAGAAAGAAGAAATTAAATAATTGAATAAAATATTTATTTTTCAAAAAAGCTCTTGCATCAATTTTTATAGATTGAAAATAATTTATTCTTGAGTTTAAATTACCTATGAGATAGGAACTCCTTAATAAAAAACCATCTTTCTCCCTAAAAACATTAATAATTTATAATATTTTTTAAGCATGACTCTCTATGACTCTCTAAGTTGAAAAATCAATAATATTTTTATGAATGGATCACTCCATTACAGGTTTTAGCACCAAGATTCCAATAACACATGACAACTGGTCGGGATGAATTATTGAGTTTTGTAAGAACAAAAAAATAAAAAAAATTATTACTAGTTAAAATATTCAAAGATTAAAAATACCATAACTATGTGAAAACTCCTCAAACATTTAATTTCCTTTATCTTTATCTCATTTGTTAAAAGGTTAGGACAACATTTTATATATAAAATAAAAAAATCCTATTAATACTGAATAGTAATAGGTTAGAAATACAATATTAATAATAGAAAATAGAGAAAACAAAAATAATTATGAAAAATATTTATTTTCTAAAAACACTTAAACCTTAAATTCCCTTCTATTTTTTTTTTGGAGATAATATGACGAACATACGGATATTTAACGATTCCATTAATAATAGAATGATTTAATTGAGAATTTTCTTTAATAATACAATTGATATTTTAGATGTATAATCGGGACTATCATAATAATAGGGTAATAAATTTAAGATTTGTCCTTTATTATTTAATAAATATAATGAAAATCCAACTAGTACGTAGATCCAAAAAAAATTAATTATTCTCTAATCACCATGAAATTTAAAGATATACCCTTAAATCATTTTAAAAAAGTGGTTTTAATTAAAATGCACGCGAGAATATCTTTATAATTTAATTAGAAAAGGAGTTTCCCGAGTCGTGCCACGTAGCATCGTGCGCGTAAATGGTCCCCGTCCCGACAAAAACTGAGATGATAACGTTGTCGGATTTTATGGGCCAAAGGACACGTAAACAGAAGGTTGTCAGGTTAGGCGTCAATATATAACGGGGATCAGTCTCCATAAATGTATATCAGAGTGAAATCCGTCCTCGAAGCCTACCTTAACAGATACAATGTATCAAAATCAAAACCTTTTGGGTTTGCAAAACGGATCACAATTACAAGTACATTGAATTCATTGATACCGAAGACTTAGTAAATCAATGTTGCATTAATATAGATGGATATTTATTGTTTTTTTTTTTATTTATTCTTAAAAAAAATATATTTTTTAATAACTCATCAATTCTTAACTAAGTAAATCACTAAACTTGTGGGTTTGATGAGTTTTTTTTTTAAATTCAGCTTAGTATTAAATATATTTATATATAAATCTGATGAGCCATCAAATCTTTTAATCATAGGTTAAATTAAGTGCTGGGTTCATATTTTTTCATGCTATGAATATTTTATCGTGATGAATTAGATATATTTTATATTAAAAAATTAAAAATATTTTATTGATACTTTAATTTTTTTTCATTAATAAAAAGTGCGAGGCCTATAAAAAAGCAAGAGATATCCTTTAGGAGGGATTAAGTTTTTCTTCAAAAAACATATTTATTTTAAGATGTTTTTTAAAATTATAATTGTTTTTATACTTATTTAATTATTGAAAAGTCTCCACATATACAAGATAGGGCTTTTTGTTAATATCAAGCATAATCCACTAATCTTGCTAAAAATAAATGAATTAAATTGCTAAAATTAAAAAATTAACCAAATATTCCATGTATTATCTTATCTTGGCTCATAAGCTCATGAATAAACTCAGATTTTATTTGGTATCTAGTTAATGATGGCTTAACACAAGTTTGGTGTCAAATCCAGCTCAAAATTGATTTGATTTAATCCAATTAAAACTTAATTAGAATATTTGTTTTATCTTAAAATAATATTATTTTAATTATTTTTTTAAAAAATATTAATTGAGTTAATTCAATAGATCTTTTTTAATCTATAACCGGGCCTTGTATTTAGTCAACCCCTGAATGTAATTTAATAATTATAATTTGACTATGAAATATATATATATTGAGTTTTTAATAATACACTTGGATAAATGAAACTTTTAATGCAATGGATATTATAATTCTTGAGATTTTCTTTAACGAAACTTAAGTGAAAAAATATGTAAAAAGTTAATGTATTAAATATTTTTATTATTAAATAAAACTTATTTCCCTTTTTGCTACTAGTGGTTCTATTAAATCGAGAGATGCAAGCGAAGCTTTTTTTTTTCCCCCTCAATTTTTACTAGCAATTTACAATTCTCACTTTAAATAATACCATCGTTTAAATGAAAAATATCTTTTTTTCCCCATAGAAATTAATAGGTTATGCTATATTCACAATTTAATTTATTTTGAAAAAAAAAACAAATAAAAGTCATCTTACAAATGTTATGGGTCCGTTTTTACTTTTTAAAGACCAGTTTAATAAATTCATACAACTTAGGGATTAACGCTGATTATGAGTCATAATTGCCTCTTTAGGCTAACGTATCTTCTAATTAATTAAAAATAGATACAAAATTAAAGATGCAATTAACTATTATGGGATCCTGCTATTTACAAATAACAAATACACCAGCATACTCGAATTAGGATAATATTTTGAATTACATATGGCTTAACTCGGTCTGAGGTTGATGAAATTACAAAAATTATAAAAAGGAATATTTTGGGATGAATTATTTTTATACATCATTTAGGGTGAATTCCATGGCTTTTACTTTAAAATCACGATGGCTTCTCCTTTGACCAATCTTCTCGCAGGGATATGAAAAATAAATGCCTATATAAAGTTTGTTAGGGGTGTTGACGAGGGATTATCCAAAGATCAAGTAATATTTGTATAAAAATAAAGATATTAATAATCTTTTATAAAGATAAAAAAAAAAATAAGGAAAGAAGATGCAGATGTAACATGAAAGAAGAGAGAATGTATTTATGTCCTTTTGATATAATTTTTTTTTCTAACCCCCTTCTTGTTGCTTGTATCATATATAATTAAGGTAAGCATGAACTACTTATTCATATTTAACATGATTATGATAAGTATCATAATCACTAAACCAGACTCAGGATATGAGAGGCTTAACTTGGAATGAACTTTTAATTGTGTAATTATGTACTCAACCTAGAGGACATTGGATTTAACTCACATCTTGAGCCTAACATGGGTTGGTGCAGACATGCCCTTACTTAACACGGGGTTGGGTGTGGACACTTCCCTAGCCTAATATAGGGTTAGGTTTGGGCACCCTTACCCAATATGGGGTTGGGTGCGGACACGTTCAAGCCCAACATGAAATTCGATGTGAGTGTATCCCTGACCCAAAATGGGGTCGGACGCGGGCACACCTTTACCTAACATGAGGTTGGGAGCAGGCACATCCCCGGCCTAACATGGAATGGGATGCAGGCACGTCCCTAACCTAACATGGAGTTGGGCGCGGGCAAGCCCCTGCCCAATATGGGGTTGGGTGCGGACGTGCTTATGCCTAACAAGGAGTTGAATACAATCATGCCCCTATCCAACTTAGAGTTGGGTACCGAGAAAGACATAATCTCATTCTATGTTGTGACTTTTATGTGTTGGCTTTCAAATAGGGATGGTTTACAAAAATCATGACCCATCAATAGCCCCCCAAGTCTGTTTATTTTTGGAGAAATACGGAGACTTAAAGCTAAAGAGATTTTTACTAACCTTAGTTGAGTTGTAATCCTGATCAGGATGTCCTTTATACTCCCCCTTTCATGACCTTACTGACAAGGATGACGTTCTTAGAGAGTTTGTTGTTTGAATCTTTAAGATGTATCCCCAATATTTTTCTGGGAAGTATTGAATAATCACTATTGTCTTAGAGAAGTGGGTCATAGATGTCACAGGGGTATGTAACCCTATTTAGACCAGTAGGAGGTGCTGCTATAGAAAGGCTGGTTTCAACACTTTTTGATGTCATAAAGACTGATACTTGTGCTATCCAGGAGAGATATAGATCTCAGATTGTACACAAGATATGTAACCCAGATTAGATAAACGGGGTGAACCTGATTAGGCCGCCCCAACACTCTTGAATGTTATAGAGACTGGTCCTATACTGTTCAGGAGAGATATGGTTCCCAGACCACAAATATGGGCATGTAGCCTGTTTGGATAGACAAGATGGATTTGATAAGGTCGTTCTAGTGCTCTTACTTCCAATTAAAAAGGCAAGACATAATGAAAGAACAAGGTGTTGAAACCTGCTCTAAAAAGTGAAGCATTAATCCCATACTATTGCTTAGAGAGGTGGGTCCTACACATCATAGGGGTTGTAACCCCGATTGATGACGGTAAAGGTTGATGCTCATTTTGGACTTCTTTACCATCTTTAAGAAGTGGTCTTCGGATGCCATAGGGGTGTGTAACCCCATTTGG